CCATATAATTAAAGAAAACACAGTGAGCACACAACACAGAGAGGCCAGGAGAGCGTGAAGGCACGGATACAACCAAAGGCAACTGTAGCTTATTATGTTCTTTCTCTGTCTGAACCTCTGCCTCCAGTCCAACCTGTGGAGTCCTGTCTGGGAGTTCAGAAAATCTGATTTCCTCACATATCACTGCGTGTTACCTTAGCTTCAGCTGTCTGAACGAACTAAATTGTAAGTTTTGGAAGAAAAAGACACAGAACTAGTTTCATCTCTTCTTTCTCTTTGATGCTCTTTCCACCTTTCAGCTTCCACTCACTTGTCTTGCTTCCTGTCTGTCCTTTTCTGCCAGCTGACCCATCTTCTTGGATTAAAAAATGACGTCCTCTGGTGAGTTTAAGGAAACACCACATAAAGCAATTACTAACAAGCCTGATGTGGCACCCCCTCCTTTCTCTTTGTGTAGGGAGGGGATAGAGTGGGGCCAAGTGCCCTTCAGCAAAAATGAATTTTCCAATTTCAGTTAGTTCTTCCATGAATAAATAAACAAATGAATAATTGAAAGGAGCAACATAAATAAATAACATCACAAACATTTCGCCGGTACTCATAAGTATTCTACAGATAACTCGGGCTGCATGCTAATGATAAAAACAGTACATGTAGCAGGTTGAGATGCATTATTCACCGCTCTGCTCTAACCAAAATTAAATAAATAAAAATCTCTCAAGGAACTCAAAACATCCTCTCAGCATTGAAGTGACAGGCCTGTCCCATTTATAACACACAAGGACACTGTGGAAAACAAATAACTGACCAGTCAGATGCAAGAGGGAATAAATAAACCAGCAAGGAGCTGGCAGCCATTGACAGGATCTCCAAAAATTTCAGCAAGTCGTTAGAAGGAAAAATAAATACTTCCAAGTGCTAGGGAAGTCCTGCAGAAGGCATGGTGACAAGTTGAATTCTCACACTGAATAGTTATTGTACAGGCAAACTGTCATTTTTAGTTATTGACAACAAAGTTTTCCGGGAGACGGCCCAAAGTTTAGACTTTATATCAATGAAGAGACTGACAGTTCAGTTAGAGACACTTAGTATGTCAGAGGATGTAGGATGATGATTTCTAGCATAAATCGTTCTATACTTGGTTGGAAAAAGGCTTTGTTTATGAAGTCGTTCCCCACTGAATCTAAAGAGCAACACAGGGCTCACTGGAGAGTGCAACAAATTCCTGTGTGCAATAAGGAGCAGACACATTTCACTGAAATGTGGGATACACAAAATGCATAGACGCCATAGCCAGGTATGGTAATAAGAACGAGTGGAGGCTAGGGCCATAGAATGAGAAATCAATGAAGGCAGACAGTAGCAGCAGTGTAGTGACGCAGGTTGTAGTATAACCAGTGGCATTATGAATCAAGGTGTTTGATTTTAACTTTGACTGCCTCATTGTCTTCATAAAAGTGATTGGTCAATTATTTAAATGTGATGAGGTAAATGATTATAACGGTCAGCTGATGATGTGCACAACTAGAGATGTTGCTGCAAATAAAAGATAAGGTTCATTAGTGATCTTGAAAAAAAATCTTATTACAAGGCCCATTTAACTGTGGGAGCTCTCAAACACATCTTGTGGCCGTCAAGCACCAGAAAAACCAGGTAAGTGGATCTTCTTGTTAAGCAGATAACGAGGGTTCCTATAGTAGGCATCTCTACAGTTCCTAGCGTATATATAATATATATAATATGGTCGTAATATATAATATTACGACAATGCAAAGGTAAGTTTACTCTGCATGTGTGTATAGAAAATGACAAGTTAATAAATATACTCAAGATAGTAGACAAGAGTGTGAGAATAATATTGTCAAGGAAAATGTGTGAGTCCAACAACAATAAATATGCTCAGTAAACTAAGTTCAAATCCAGACAGATCTCCATTCCACGACTCACCACCATAATAAATAAAGGCCTCATTCTATCACAGCTAATGTCCTATTCTACAGAAACAGTGGTAGAGGTGGGGATTATGTGGAGGCAATATTGAATGAGGATTTATACAATGATTACTAATCTCATTGTATTAGAATAAAGAACAGCACATCAGCAAACATGGGGGGAAGTTGCCCTTTGTCCTCTGCGTGGCTCGTTTTCCACAAAGCTCATTAAGGGATACTGTTAACATGCTTCCTAAGCACAAAATGTTAATTAAAAACACAAGGCTAATATGCATTTTTACGCCACGCTTTTGAACGCCATGGAGGAAAAAAAAAAATCTCATTTCCTCTGTGGTTCTGCTGATTGCAGTCTGATGCGGTGCTGAAGTTAATTAGAGCCCTGTGATCTGATGTGATGAGGGGGTGACCGCACGCCACGCTGCCACCAGCTCCCCTCCCTCCCCTCCATGACTGCAATCACCCCAAGCCTACTCATCATTACTGCCATAGACTGGGCCATTTCATCCAGATTGAAGGTCCCACCCTACTTTTATCTCCTTTTATCTCCTTTTACGTCTTTCCCTCTCACAATATTCATCTCTGTCTCTTGCCATGTCCTGCAGTTCTGGGCCACCAGGTTGAGGCTTCTCTTCATCTGCAGACTCAAGATCCAGAAGGCTACACATCTTCTCTACTTCAGCCAATGCAAGCTGTGCTTTTCTTTTACTCCTTTATTTACTCCTGTGCCTTCAGTTTGTATAGAGATGTTTGGAGTATATGGTGCAGGTTTTACAAGGCACAAGCAGGTCTCTCTCTTCACCCCAAATTCTGCTACGGACTAATATGGTCTGTGTTGCCCTTTCAAGTCACGGTGCGCTCCCTCAACATTAAAACAACACGTCTGTAACAGCTCTGATAAGTTTTCACTAAAAGACACTCAAAGAGGGGGGACCGTTTTTATGAAGTGACAAACTCATACAGTGACAGGATCACCCCATAAAAGTCCATGCGAATGAAATGAACGAGTGTTCACTGGGTGTGAAAATATACTGCAGCACGCACCTCTGCAGACCCTTCTATTAATCAACCTGTCTGCACTTTGTTTTGAGAGTAATCTCGTCCAACCACCAGAGAAGCACTCAGCAGTAAGTGGCGCTTGGCTGTGCTTTGAAGGCCGTGGTTTATTGCCATCCCAAAGCACAGCAAGACTGCGCTGTAAAAACACATCATCTCAGTGCTCAACACTTGCCTCCGGTTACACACCTCACACATGGCGATCTAGGCCTGAAGACCTCCTTAACCAGTGCTGGCCTATGCTTAGCTATCAGAGTTAGACACAGTATAGGCCTCTGTTCAAGTCCTTTGTCCATGCAAATAGGCACTCCTCATCCTTAGCCTGTCCCTTTCTAATGCTAATGCGTCATGAAAAGAGAATAAATTCACTTTTCATGCCCCTTTGTACCTGCATCCCCAGTTAGTTAGTTAGCTATTTTATTGACTCAAAAAGATAAATAATTTGGGTCCAAAAAATATCATATAAACAGTACACTCTAAACTAAAAAATATGAAAATTTTACATAAAAATGTACAAACAGCAGCAAAACAGGTAAACCTCAAAAGTTTGAAATTTTTGGATTTGGAACTCTATGGATGTGAAAGGATCACCTACTGAGGCGAATTTAAGAGGGTTGCTTAGAGAAGCTGTATTATGGAAAGGTCACCTTATAGCCCATACCACTCCAAAAGAGTGACGTCTTATTAAACAGATTTATTTTTAACGGACTTCTTTGAGCGTATCAAGGTGACAGAAGTCTCTGTGTGCCATGTGTGTTTCTGAATGCGTTGCTGTTAGTGAGGGTCAGACCTTGTCTTTCAGCTGGCACCCCTCAAATCTCTTTATTTCTTATTTCTGGGCCAAACACACAATGACACAAATGCAAACTTTCATTTAAATTAATATAATTTTTTTATCATTGAGGCAGAATGTGGTTCATGACTGTGACACACACCGTTCCTTTTCAGCAATTAATTTGTTGCAATTTCACTTCAAGTTAACCTGACTTGAATCTTTTTTCTTGTTTTTATGGCATGGCCAGGTACACCGACCCCCTCCTAGGTATTATCTCCTCTTGACTACGGTGAGAGGAAATCTAAAACTTTAACAAAACAAAGTGCCTCCTCTCGTTACTTGACCTCCTCAAGAATACCTCCTTTAATATTTCACTATTAGGACAGAGAGTGCAAGTGAAATTTTAAGTAGAAGTAAATAAAGTGCTGAAATATTGAAGTGGAGGGTGGCCGTCAGCTGGGCAATGGTGGAGGATGGAGTGTTGAGATGAGGCTCATAATTTTTTCATCTCATGTATCTGTAGCCTCCATGAGCCTAATGGATATTAGGTAAAGCAGTCTTTACTGACTCATAAGAATCCACTATGTTAAGAAGTGTAGGCTGAGCAGACTGTAGGCATGAATGAGCATCAACACTTAACACCATATAATATTGAACTGCCACTGCAAGTGAAATCAAAGAGTGAAATGCATGTGCGGATGTGTTGTGGAGGCAGAGTTAGGCCGGTCTGAGGAAGCGATTGCTCTTTAAATTGGTGACTTCCTTTCTTTAATCATAGAAAAAATACACTATTTTGGACTTATGTCTAAACACTATAAGGGATGTATGAATGTAACATTGAATCCTTCAAGGACGCAAAGATTGAATGTTTTCTGCTGCACCACAGATGAATAGAGCTTCTGACCCACGTCTTAAAGACAGCATATGTGGCATAGCTGCAGCTCCTCTTAAGGCAGGGACTTTTTTTCTCTCTTAAGAGAGCAGGTCAAGGGTCAAGGCATGAAGGCCCACAGCACTCCCTGCCTTTTCTAGCTTTCCTCTTTGAGATCAATCAAAAGAAAGGGTGAACTGAAGTCAAAAGGTACACACAAGCACTTATATGTAGTGGCAAACCCTTAAGACTTTACTGAGGAAAAGAGTCATGTGGATGTATGTGTATTCATATGTGCGTATGTGTATGGAGGTGGGGGAGCGCTTCAGTCAATAGGAAGGCCACTGACCTTTCTTTGCAGTTCTTGCCTCTTATCCTGCAGCAACGTGTTTGGCCTGTCTATCTCCACCTGTAGCTCAGAAATCTGTTCTTCTTCCTGCCTCTTCGCCTCCTGCTCAACGCACAGAGAAAGAGGGAGCAGAGGTGAGGCATTCAGAGGATTGTAGCTGTCTGTTTTTAAAGGTGTCGGCACACTTTACTTTTGCATAATACATATCACACCTCAGAGATGATCCATTAGCAGGTTACAGCAAGAGAGCTGAGCAATAAGCAGACAAGATACAGCTGCAGCAGACACACAAAGACAAACACGCAAATACACGTACACACAATATCTTCCACTTTTACTGCCATATGAGAGGTTGGGATTGTCCCTGTGGGGCAGAATCATGTGTGGCTGCATTTAAAACCACTTTTAAAACCACTGACTTCTGGACTCTCCAACCCTTCACTGCCTCCAGAGAAAGCGCACAAGACAAAGTGTGTGAGAGAAAGTAAAAGAGAGAAATAGAGCGGGAGATGAACATAGAGAAAGAGGCAGACAGAAAAAGAGAAAAAGCAAGCCACCACACCCCCCTGCACTTCCAGACACTGATTTATAATTTTAATATCTCTAATTTCCACAGCAGCGCCCATTTTCCAAATGTCATTTTCCAATTTATGTCAAACCGTGTGACCATTTTTCTTAATACAGCTTATGACAAGCTCGGTGGCAAGGCGGATATGCAATTCAGATTGAGTGTTTTACAGGCACAGCAGCAGACACACTAGGGTGTTTGTGTGTTTATCTTTATCAGTGTCTGCTCAGTATTTTGTAGGGGAAAGACTGGGAGCGTTATACACCAGGGAAAAATTGGATTCGCTGCAAAATATGTGCCTTCAGGGAACAAAACCATAATTCTGTCATAAATCTAATAATTACAGTTATCATAATAAGAATTATGATGGTGGCAATGATAATATATTAAAATATGCATTACCATTAAGAGCTTGAAATGGAATGTGGGCTGGCTTTATGACCATTACATGAATATTGATGTTAATTAAAACAGAACCTCCCTTTTTATGTAACAATCTATCTCCTTGTAATGGTGAGAGTTGGACACAGTGGTGAGCCAGATGGAGCAGAAGTCATTACTGGTTGGTTTACCCAATGTGGGGCACTGTGGAACTCCTCTTGGGTGTGCTAGGGGCCTTGCTGGTTGGCTCTTCCCATGACAAACTTCATGATTGTAGACACACAGTATTTTTAGTATTTTAGGTTAAAGAAGCATGTGATAAGAGCTGGCTGAGCTTTCAAAAAGACAGGGAAAAGGTATTTAGTGTTTCTGTCACCATCTCCTTGTGCCTGGTAAACATAAGACAACCTTTATGTAGGAAGGTACAATTTCTGCATTGTTCCCAATAATACCATCAGATTTTATTTAAAAAAGGATCATACTAATGATTTTCCATGTTTTATCACATTAACTTTAAACAACTACTACTGACCTTTATCCATCCATAGCATTTTTAAATTGATTTCCTTCTGTATGCACCAGGCACCCATTGATTCTAGTCCATGCAACTATGGTTACAAAAATCAATTTTCAAACACGTTAAACTTGCTTGAGATTGGTCATCTATTACAGTCAAACATCACTGTATTGTGTGTCAAATGAATGGGTTTTGTAAAACATTTATCATGTACTGCAACTGCAAACAGGTATTGCTGTCAAAGCTTCCTTGCTGGGCTCGTGGAAAAACTTGACAAGAGCGTTAGTTGCTGAGCAGCAACGTTTTCAAGGCTAAATTGTAAAAATGGAAATGATCCCTTTTTAATATAATATTTTTTTATTATAAGGCAATAATGATGGAAGAAATACAAAGAACATCTTTAACAACGTTAGGTTGACCCAAAAGAAATAAAATGTCAGCAGTGAGGATAAGTGTACATGACTTTACAATAATAAGATAAAAGATACAAAACCACCTGTATGTGTACATTCACTGAAATGATGGCCTGTTGTGCCTGAGAGTGAGAGATATCCCCAGTCCTGACTGCCCATGATCCTGAACTATAAAAGTACCTTTCTGGCTACAAACATGTTTTAAAAACCATTAATGATTACTGGAATCTAAGTGACTGAGCAAGGACTGTCTATGGCACAGTTGTATTAAGACCTACTTAGGGTAATCTAAACAGTCTCACCTCTTTCCCTCCTCTCCCTGGAGGGAGGTTGACTCTCTGTGAGTGGCAGCCTGCCAGCCCATGTTCCCTACTATTGAAAAAAGGGTAAAAATAACAGGAACAAGTTGTCGGAAATTAAATTTCAATTCATCCAGTCCCTTTATACACTGGTGCGAGAGCCTGTCGTTGAGAGGGAGGGATCAATAGTGTTTAGACAGCAGGGCAGATTTTCTAAGCGCCGGATCAATAGGAAGGAGAGAGGAAAAAATACCCTGGCTTTTCTTTGGCTGTTGTAGTAAATACGAACAAATCAGTGGCCTTAGGCTAAATGGATTGACCAGCTGTTTCCGAGTTCTGTGTTGTAAATAAAGATCCATTCTGAGGTGTGTAACTGAGGCCCAAAGGCGAGAGTGCCACGGTTTCAGGTTGGCCCTGCATGGGCTGTGCTGGACCACACAAGTGTCCTGATGAGAGGGTGAATGAAGCAAAGGAACAGAGGAGGGACAGAGGGCAGCAGCGTTTCCTAAACTTTTTTTATTTGACGTAATCCCACATCTTTATCAGATGAGCTCAAGTACCCCTTCATCAACACTTTGTCTCCAAATGTGTTCATTTGAATAGATTTAAAACTTGTTGTTATTTAACTCTGTTAATTATATAAAATAGGATACAGTATTTATTTCATATAAGACAGTGTCGATATTCTTTTTTCTGTTTCTTAGTAAGTTTGTTCAACATCCAGCTTCTGCCTCTCCGAATGGTAGTAGCATTAAGACTTGTTTGTTCGCTTGCTAACTAGATTTCATGTAACTCTTAATCACATTTCATAGTGTTCAGGTTGGTGGGATGTTGGTCCTGTGCGTTCTGCTTATTGTAACTGCCAGTTTATTGGTTGTTGAGACAGTATATACTAAAGATCGAGAACATAAATTGATAGAAAATATAGCTGAATAATAGCTGAATAAAATAAGTCATTACATGAAGGATAAGACTGGTTGATGTAGGCAGCTGTGGCAGGTTAAATATCTCCACCAATATACTGGGCTAATCAGAGGGTAAGATCCTGACAGGATGACTGATGACCTGCTTGCTTTGCCTCACCTCTGGACTTATTAAAGAAAAACACCACAGGCCATGCTTTCACAAAACTCATTGGTCAACCATGGTGGAGAATGTGATGGGTGAAATTCATCACCAAAACCTCTTCAGCCCAAACAAAACACACATTGGAGCACCAAAGGACACAAGAACCTCTGGTCATTACTGATTGCCTCCAAACTCAGGGAGAAGACACTTTAAAGGACAAATGTGTGTGGAAAAGGATGGTTGTTGACTTTCGCTGCGGGGTAGACAAAGAAAAAAAATAGAAGAGAAAGAAAAATCTTAGGCTTTGCTGTGCTTGGAAACACTGTCTGGAGCCAAGAAAAATGATGTATGTGGTTCAAGTCCCATTCGTCTCAGACCTGGTTCCTGCTAGGAAGAGTCACAGTTGAAACTTATAGAAGAAGTACCTCCCTCTACATGTGGCCCACCTAAACATACAGCACTATCTGCTTTCTCTTTGAATTAGGCCAATAAAACTGCAGTTTGGTGGTATTACTGCAGCAACTGCACAAACCGATCTCGCTGATAAGCCTACTGTACAATTGCAGTCACATACCAGACACAGAATCTTCACAAGAATACATAAACAGAGCAGCTAGACATGTTGTATGACTCATTTGAGAGCAATTCCACAATGTAATTGAGGCTTTATGTGTGTATGTGTGTGTTTGTAAGTGCCACCTCACTCTGATTAAAGTGACCTAAGATGTGCACTTACCGGATCTCAGGCTGAGCAGCAGAGGTTACAGCACAACTCATAGGCTTCCTGAACACATTACCTTAATGATGCCATTCCTCACGCCTCCATTTCAACACATTTAGAGATGGAGCAGTTACAACATCTATTAAGACATTCAAATGTCTCCCCCAGCTATTTACCCACTGCTCTAGCACAAAAGGGTAGCCTGAATTAAGTGTGACAGCACTGACTCGTTCCCCTTTCGAAACAGACAAAATACATAGACAAAGTCATCATGCAGGAGCGGTCATTAAAAATTTAGATTACAGCTTCCTTGCTTTCTCGCAAAACTCTTGTCTTTCTTGGCTTGTTAATAGGATTGTTTTTCTTTTAATATTAAAGTGTTGATTATGACAGATTGTGAGGCTGACTCTGACGGCTGCTTGTTTCTCCTGTTCCTGGCATCTGATCAAACCTCATTTACTCGACTGGGGGATTGAATGAAAAGTCTGATCATTAACCCTTGTGTCTGCCTCTGGAGGAGGGGTGACTCTTTACCTCCTACACATTTTATATTTTGGCGCACCTCAGTTTAAGCTGCTGTTTTCTGAGGAGTGAACGTTGACGTAGTCAGCCTTCAATTCAAGCCTTCAAACTTAGAGAAAGATGCAAAAACAAAAAAAAGACAACACCAGAGGTAACTGCAGTGTCCTTGTAAGCTGTTTATTTTCACTGGCAGTTGCCAAAGACCAAATGTTAAAAAGTCTAATTGGATTGTCAGCTTTTCTTCTTATAATCTTGTTCTTTGCCAGATTACTGTCCGATGAGCTGCACATCTCAGTGAGTGGCCCTTAGGTGGCAAACCATCTGTTCCATATTCTGGCCTGTATACACAGTTTCCCCCCTGCTTTGAGATATTTGGGGTATTCTTGGGAGGAGACAAGGGCTATTGAGAGTGTTTATGTTTCTGGCTTGTACAGAGGCTTCTAATGTGTAACACAGTGCACTTCAGTATTCAGATGCCTGGGGCTATTCTCTAAGTGGTCTTTACTTTGAAAACACAGGTGCCCTCCAGGGGTTGATGAGTGGTGGTTGTGTGCATGTGTGTGCATGTATGAGGAGGCAGTAAGCTGGGAGGGCAGATAAAGGAGCAGCACTG